GAATAGTGCAGCGCCACATCTGGCGCTGCACTGTACATATATCTCAAATAGCGTCAAAATGTGGCGCTGCGTTGGAGCAAAATATTGACACAACTCTGGCGCAATACTCTACTCCAACGCTGCGTTGGAGTTGGTCTAACCCCTGATGTTTAGCCCATCTAACAAACCAAAGAAAAGAACAAACGGCAACTATCTGCTATGTTTGTAAACCAAATAAGTTAACTTATAAGCTTCTTGTATTCAAATAAGATTCGTTTGGTAGGATAACTTTTTAAAAAGCTCGAGTTATCTCATAAGTTTCTTTTTGAGTAGCTTTTCCAATAAGCTCATTAAAATTTGTGTTTCAGCTAGCTTGTCAGCTAATTTTACTAAACACGTTTATCATATAAGTTAGTTTATCAACTACAAGTCATAAATTATAAGCTCAAAAATCACTTACAAGCTATAAACTAGTTTATCAGCTAGCTTTACCAAACATATCCTTATTATACAAATTGCATCTCATGCAAAAAGCTATGTGCGAGTAAATACATAAAAGGGTGTTCGTGACACTTCAAAAGGGGATGTCGTAATGAGGAAGGTGTATTGTCAGTTCTCGGATCTTCTAAATGTCATAATAAACATTCGCAAACAAAATAGTGTACTTCTACAATACAGTCTTGCTTCTTGAACCAACTATATTGGTATCGTTGTTTCACCTTAAAATCTACAAAAATTTCCTACACAAGTTTTTATGTTGTTCTGGTATATCACGAGGGAGGGTCATAATTACATTGAGGGTGTTTGTTTACAAATTTTCTTATTTCATATTCATTCATACTTAAAATCTAACTGAATTTTAACTCAACCTCACCATCCTCGATATTACAATATAATTAAATAATATCAATCAATAATTCTTGCACATTATATCGATTTTAATTAACTATTTATCTACTCACATAATTTTAATTAACCATCAATTCACATCATCGCTCTCTAGGGCTATAAACGAGCTGAGCCGAACTCAGCTCGTTAAAAAATGAGCCTGAAATCGACCTCGAGCTCTGCTCGTTTAACACTTACTAGTATTCGATCCTGTGCACATGCACAAATGATTAAATTATTATAAGTCATATGCATATATATCATATTAAAATTATAGGTTAGATAGTATCACATTTAAAATTTTTGTCATTAATAAAAATAAACATTATAAAGTATTCAACTTCATCACTATAATTACATAAAATGAAATGGATAAGGTACTTTTTATAAATTCGAAATATCGTGACCCGTTAATTATCTTAAAAATTATTATTATTATTATTATTATTATTATTATTATTATTATTATTATTATTATTAAAAGCTTAAAAGGTTTGGTTTACCACTAAAGACAATTAACTTATTAAAAAAAAATATTTAAGAGCAAGAAAAAGATTAAGAAAAAAATTCAAATAATTTTTTATACTTATTCAACTTTCATATATCATTTAGTATGAATTACAATTGGTTAGTTTTAGTAATAACTATGATATAATAGAATAATTAAAAGCAAAATTACACTTTCATTAACCATTATATTAAAAAAAAAAAAGTAATTGTTTAAGTTTCAGTTGCTGGTTTTTAAAAAAAAAATACTGGATTGTAATGAAAAAATGTGAAAAATCTAAATAATTTTATTAAATTGTTTGTTTGCAATTATACATATATATAGAGATATTAAATATTCATTGATTATTGAATTGTTCAAGGCTTTAATTAAAAAATAATAATAATAAAGTAAATATGCTTTTGTAACATCTTTTAGAGGTAAAATAAATAAGGTTAAATTAATTGTTTTGCTAGCAAAATTATATATATAGATAACGAGCAGAGTTTGAGCCGATCTCGAGCTTTAACGAGCTGAACTACAGATAGTTATATAAACATTCTATTTTTGAGCCTTATCGAGTTGAGTTGTTAACCGAATGAGCTTTAAATGAGCTCGAGTTTGGTTCGTTTATCAAACGAGCCGAGCCAGGCTCTTTTAATTTAACAACATTGTATCTCTCTACTTTTACATCAAATCAACTTTAATTATTTTATTTTAAATATTATTTTAATATAAACTCAAAATTCGATTAAAAAAAAAATCGCTTTTGAGTATATATTTGTATCCAAGCATGCCCTAAAACAACTTCAATTATAATAATCCTTGATAATATAATGTGATAAGCGTTACCTGTTTATTAAGACATGGGAGACTGCGGAAGTTCCCATTAACAGCTTTGAGAAACTTGGCCACATGGTTTGGGTATTGGCAGGAGAAAGCTCGGGGAACAATGTCCCTGTGCATCGTAAGCGATTGGATGTGATTGCGAGGCAACCCCAACTTGTGCAGCAGGCGATCCCCACCACACATAATCGAGGGTGCACCGAAAGTTATCACGGGGAGCAAAGACGAACGTGGAGCTTCGCCTCTTATGAGAAGCATGAGATTTACGAGCAACGATAAACTCCCGCCAAGGGAGTGCCCCGTAAAACGCAATGCGGCTCGAGGGCCGTGGGACTTAAGGTGTGCGTGGATTTCAGGCAGCATCTGCTCGTATATCCCTTTTGCCGCCTCGTATATACCTCTGTGCACCAGAACATCCAGCCCCTAAAAGAATGGGAGACAAGTTAGGTTTTTTTTTTCCGCCTTTTCTATTTTCTTATAGGAGAACCATTTCGAACAAGTATCCCACAAGACCTCATAAACAGAACATAAGCCTAATGATTTTCCGAAGAACATCCTTACCAGCAACGATCACTGGGAAGCTTTTTACAATAACCACAAAAAACAAAAAGAATACATAACGGCAAAAATAAGGAAGGTGTATTCAATTGGGATTTCTAACTAATTCTAAAGGTTTTTAAGACTTCAGGTGTATTTTATTTAGACTTTTCAAGACTTTTAAAAGTCTTGAAGTATTAATTTGGGATTTTAAAAATTCTTACAAAAAGATTTTTTAAGATTTCATGGGATTCCTCCAAAATCCAAAAATCTTGAAAAATCTTAAATCTAAAAAAGTCTCTTAAAATGTCATTTGAAATCCCATAAGTAAATTGAGTAGCTTTTTTTTAATTATTTATTTACATAATTCATGTAAATAATAAGAGTAGCCTGCCTCTGTGAATACACACAAGCATCTAAAATGATTTGCAAGCTGAATACAGCTAATACCTCAAACTGAATGGGCTCAAACAAAAGATTGGCCTGCCATGAAGCTAGCGACTCAGATCCCTGCAATAGCAATCAACAGTTTCTATTTTTTAGAACACATGTCATTCTAATGAAGAAACAAACCGTATGAAGAATCAGAAGCTCATTAAACCTCTTCAAAAGTTAGAAAATCACACCCATCCATACCTGTATGACAAAGAATCTCGTGGCACTCTGATTATCATCACAGATGAACCACTCACAAGGCGAAGAAAGAGTCGAGTTCAGATCATCCGCAACGGCCTGCTTCACTTCCTCTTTAGCGGCAACAACTGCAGTCACTGAGTCTGTAGTGGCCATTAATGAGGCCACATCTTGATTCATCATGTCAACACAGCCTAATATATCCGCGTTGACTTTTTCAGGTAGATTTTCATCTGAGGTCGAGTCGGAGGATTTAAAGCGAAGGATACTTTTTGTGTGAGAATGTAAATAGGAAGCAGCCGAAGCAGCAATTTGATAGGCAGCTGATGTACTTATTCGGTATCCGTTAGGCTCCGTTTGGCTACTTTTGGCATCTTGATCTTCGGCTTCTGCTTGTGCTTCTGGCTTGATTTCTCTTTGTCCCTCTTCGGCTGGTGCCTTCTCATTTAATGCTTGTTCTCTTTTCTCCAAGGATGAAGTCACGAAATTTAATCTATGATACCTTAGCAGGTTCCTCGGCTGTACTCATCATTTCATAAAAAAAAATTGTCACGGACATGAACAATTATGCAGCTCAGCTCAAACTAAGAGCTACAACCCCCTCAGAAAACACAACTAACTGATTACACAAGTAAGAATAAGTAACTCGTAAGAAAACAAAATACAAAAGGACAAATAATTTAGAATATAAAAACTACTAAGAAAGTTATACAAACCGACTGCATAAATGATAAAACTATAATCCATATTAGTATTTTACCAATAAGATCATCCTTGCAGTGATCACAATCCAACATTTCAGAAATTGCCACAAGCTCGAAAACCAAACAAAATTACAAGTAAAAAAAGGAAATTGGTTGAGAAGATCCACAACTTCACAGAACAGCCTTGTATGCTAACATTAACAAAAACAGATGAACCAAAATGAATCCAAAACTTTCAATGTTCTTAAATTCTTGAATATTAATGTAAACTAGAGAACCAAACATATCCAAACAGTGAAAGTATCAAACCTTGATTTGGGGGATGGAATAAGCTAAGCTTCCCAAATAAGACATTTGGGCATATAATCTGGCTTCACCCAACGGCACCTTATGCAGAAGCTTCGAGAACGATTCTCGATCGAATTCAACCCTTTCGTCATCATCACCATCATCCTCATAATCAACCGTGCACAGATCACATCCTTCATCGTCCTCTCCACCGCCATTTTCAATCCCCTCTTCCAATTTTGCCCCCATTTCCTCCACGCAGGTACCAACCCTCCCTTCCTCCTTCCAGAGAGACCTCACGTGCAGAATCTTCGACACCCAGCTCCCGCCCCGCCCTAACTCATCGTCGCCCTCTCTCACAACCTCCTTCTCCTCCACCAAAACGGCGTCGTCCACCGCGATTGCCGGCTCGTACCGAATTTTGCCCCCCGGCCACAGGGATCTGAGCGGGTGACGGAAAGTGAACCCCCACGGCGAATTCCTCTGCGGCGGCGCCGCCGTAACCGACGGCCTGTCGCTCAATCGGACCTCCCCGTTTCCGGCGGCGGCGGCTCCCAGCACGCCGTGGATCCCTGCCTTGAAACACAGAGCATCCATTGCCTAAAATTTACCGAAAACAAACTTCCACACAAAGCTTGTTCAACGGCTGTTATTGTGTGTATGTTCGTGTAATCTATATGCAGCTGCTCCTGAAATGGGGAGCAGGATTTTTGCGTGAGCCAACGATCTTTGAATTTGAGGCCTCCTCCTGTAAATCGTGAGGACAGGGCAAGGTGTGCGTTAATGGCGGGTAGGAGGAGAAAATAACTTCTTTTTTTTCCTTTTATAAAGTCATTTATAATGACTTCGAGACGAAGAAGGTGAGCAACACGGAGAATACTCTCTTTTTTTTTCCTTTTTTTTTTTTTTGGTCTCGCGATATTTTGGCCGACTGCTAAAATTCAACCCTCCTGGGCCCCAATCGAACTTTTTTTGAATGACAAATCATAATAGAAAATAATTTTTTTTTTTTTTATTTCCGAAACGATTTATAAAACCTCTACAAAAGTGAAAAAAAAAGGGAAAAGCTGAAAAATTGAAAGATTAGGAGGTCAGATTCCGAGATCGCCTATTGACTACCTAGCAATGCTAGAATAAACACACTCAAAACACAACAACACCACGAAAACTAAGAGCACGTTTGTTTATAGAAATTTTTGAGTTTGTTTAGATTTTTTGGTTTGGATTGATTTGGTTTATTTTGAAAAATGTGGTATAGTTAGTTATTAGTGGATATATTAAAATAATATTTAAAGTAAAATAATTAAGATTGATTAAATGTAAAAGTATGAGATGAATGATTTAATGTGATGGTTAGTTAAAATAGTGTGAGTGAGGTGAATAGTGAATTAAGGTTAATGTGGTGTGTATGAACGATTGATTTATATTATTTAATTATATTGATAATATTGATGATGGTGATGTTGAGTTAAAGTTGAGTTAAATAAAAAAAAATGGTTGAATTAAAATGTTGAATTTTTTTTTATTTTTTTTTTTAAATTTTCATAAACAAACATGCTCTAAAACTCCTATAGAGGATAATCGACGATCCCACCGGGATAATACCCGCTCACAATCGGGCGTACACAAAGGCCAAAGGCCCAAACCAAAACGAAACGAAAAATAAAACTACAAGCAACTAAACGAGCCCTTCCAACAGAAGCATGACTGAGTTAAATCAGTATACGTCAAGTCGATAAAAGGAGAATCCCATGACCCGAGAAAACCGACCTGCCCAAAAATCGCCAAACGGTTACCTAACGTAGCCGAAACCCAAGCACCAGAACTCACCTAAAAGCCGACTCACCCCTTAGTCGAAAACACCAAAATTGCCCTCCAGAACCACCGATGAACTGAATCGGCTAACACCACTAGCAAGGTTTGGTCGCACCCTTCGCACCTCCCCGATCTCAGCGCCAGAGAACATGAGAGAAGGAGCAACCAAAATGTTGCAACCCCATAGCCACATCGACTCGAAAACCGCGAGCACCAACACCACATCCCGCCCGACTCCACTGCAGCAATAAGGAGGCCGACGATTGGGAACTTGTGCCGGAACTGAAACCTGTAAAAGAAGGCGAAGCTGACCGCTGCAGAACTGCCACCATCAGTCCATCAGAGCACGAAGACGAGAGAGTGGCGACATCGGAATGAAGGCCGAGCGGCCAGGAGCCGACCACCGGCAAAGCGCAGCATACGCTAAACAAGGCAGATTTAAGAAAGACGGCGCTCAAGTGATAAGATTTGGGGAGGAGAAAAAAATTAGGGCTCCCAAATTAAATAGAAAATAAATTAAAAATATAAAATAAGGGGAAGAAAAGGTGAATTTCGATAAAATATGTGGGAAAAAAAGAAGAAGAACAGAACTAGTTCAATTTGGAATTTGGAGATGAATTTATGGAGTTGTAAGAGTTCAAAGATCCACGTTAATAGTGAAATGGGTTTCACTCGGTGTTTACGCGAACTAATGCGACTAGATCGACTTTCTTTTTTCTCGGACGACCTTCAAACCTACTAGAACTCAACATCGGAAGGGGGTTTTTCGACGAATAGCCTCTGAAGCCTAAGTTGGTGTAAGGTTGGAGACGATAAACAGTTGATGAGTATATAAATAATAAAAGTGTGTGTAGATAGAGTAAACTGAAAACTAACCTACCACACCCTTTATATAGGGGTGTGGTGTCTTGCTCCTCAAGTCTGCCTGAAGAGTTGAACCTATTGTCAAGCTGCCCATCCGTACGACTTACATTGTCTCAAACTGCCTGACTTGTCAGGTGCGCAAACCATCCAATCCCATCTCGACATGTGGTCCAATTCTCGCATGACGTTGTTCCCGAATTAGATGTCTTCTTGTATGGCCGTAAGACTAGGTCTACGTCATCATCTAGAACACTTATTGGGGTTGAACATCTTCTTCCCCCACTCTTCTATTGTTCATGAGGCCGACTCAAGGTCGTCGTCGCCGGTCATTGCCCTCAGGTCGAGCTTTGACTCCAGCTCATTTCGCCTGTTTATCCTGTTTGGTTGCTAGTTTCATTGGTTCGGTTGACCCACTATAGTATCTCATATCACATATAAGCAGTCATATTGTATGACAATTAATCAACCTTGAGTGTATAACACGAATTCTTGTATGAAACGACTCGTTAAAAAATACGACTGATAAATATATATTTATATTATGAAATTTCACACTTTTGTTTATATTATTTTTTTAAAAAATTATATTTATGTTAAAAGTTGGCATATACATTGAAAAAGTGTGACCGTCTAGCTGTTGGTTTATTTTAAAGTAATCTCTAATTTAAACACAATTTATGTTCATTGGGACTACTAAGACTACCTTTATCAACAACCCAAACAAACCCAACCTAAAATTAAAAATTATTTATCTCTTTTTCATCTACCCAACCTAACATTTCAACTCAAATTATCTTTATTCCCAACCCAACTTAACCTAAAATATTTTTTAATTTGATTTATTTAAACATTACAATTGTGTTCCAAAATAATCAAATTGGTCTATGTTTGTAAAGCATGAAAAATTTTAGTATTCTTTTTTATTTTTATTTAACAAAAAAAAATACACTTGTCCAATAAAAATTGGACACGTGTCCTATTCTTAACCAACAACCGGGTCGCGACCCAAGGTCACATTGTGACCTGGGTCGCCATATTTGATGACTTTTTCCTTTTTTTTTGTCTTATCTCCGTGACCCAACAGCGGAATTACGGATAAATATAGTCTAAAGATATAGTGATTAGTTGGTCATACTTTTTTTATGTTATTAACTTATTATACTTACGAACTAAATGTCATATTATGTTAGAATAATACAACTATAATATGAAATCTCATAATATATATATATATTTATGTTATATCTGGATGACCGATGACTCGTCTAATTTCAAGCACTTTTATGCAATAATTTATATTTTAAATTTTTTACGAGAGACCAACATCCAAAATCATCACGATCTTATTTGACCTTGTTGTTATTATTATTATTATTGCTTGTACCGTTGTACGTAGATATTGATATAATTTTTCGAATTCAAGACACTCACTTTGATAAAAACTCCATGGCGAAATTTATTGATATATATATATGTGTGTGCGCGCACAAATTTATGTTACTTCTGTAAGAATATGTAGCCCGAAAGCATTGGGCTCACATTTAATTATCCTATTGGGCCAGACCTTATTTAATAGTCAAACAAATCTAAGCCATTAATCTGGATATTTGATGGACGTACCAGATCTAAAGACACCCCTATATAAATTAGTCCTCTCTCCTCCTATTAGGGTACGCAGTATTTTTCCCATCGCTTTTCTGCTACATTAAGAGAAGGCCAGGAGGGAGAAACTGATTTAGTCCTACCAATTAATTCAATCTCGTGTGATCATCAAGATCAAGATCACAAATTATGTCGTCTTCCGCATCAAGTAAGTGTTTCGTATATACCAAATTATTTATTCAAGATCCTTAATGATGTTTACATGTGGTATCAGAGCATGTGTTGTGGATAAATAATTTGTTATGTATAATATTGAATCCTATGAAGAACAATTGGATTGATTGATGAAATATTTTATCTGTGTCGAGATCAATTTTGGTTTCCGCAATCGGCACATATGTATTAAGGCCTTTTAATGATGAGTGTGGTGGTTTGCGTAAATCTTTACTAATGTATATTATTTGATTATGTGAATTTCGCATAATTGATGGTGTATAATTGTTGGCCGATTAAATGTATTAGGTATTACACTCACAAATCTTATGCATGACTGGTATCTCCATTCCCAAATTCCACTGCTTGGATAATTATTTGCTGGGTGACCAAAATATATTGCCCCATCATTTTTCTCTTATGGAAATTATTTCCTGGAGCTTTGTTTTAATTATTATGATGATGATGACTTGGTGAATTTATGTAAAAATTGGCCCGATTGGGATTTTGTTAACCCGGTAAATATGTATGTTTTATCCCAGTATTATGCAATTATCATGTTTTATTTTGGATGATGATGACTAGGTTAACAAATTTCCATTATGTTTATGGTTATAAGGGTTAGTTTGTTAACATTATGATTATTTGTAATTATATGACATTATG